TATATATATATATATATATTAAGTCCATAGAGCTGTTTATAGAAGCCTAAAGACTTTAACTCAATAAAAACATTTTGTATGGTTACATTGTGCTACTTTCCATGTCTCCTCCTCCCGGTGGCTCAACGGTAAGCAACAAGATAAGATACATTCCTTGTCCAGAAACTGACACCCTTATAACGTACTATGAACTAAGCTAGATACATACAAAATAAAATTATTTTAGTACCATCTAAATTAGAGGAAAAAAAGCTCTTTGAAAACTGCTCCTCATCGAAATTGATATTGTTGCGTCATCGAGGTTACGTGACTGGTGTGGCGCCCTCTAGTTTCTAGAACTATCTTGTTCCTTCGGGAATGCTCTAGTATTTGCTAGATAGGGTAAGCTAGTATATATAAGAGGGGACAACGTGACGCGGTGATGTGTGTGTAGATAGTGAGTAATTGAACTGCAGTCACAGGGTATTGTTGAAGTTAACGTTCGTTCGTTCGTGATACTGTTTGTTTTAGCGCGAATATTGAGATGAAGTGTATCCAGAGTTATATTCGGAAAGAATAAACCAGTTTTATTAAGTAAATACTTGTGTTGCTAAAGTTTCGTCGGAACGAAGTTACGGGAAGTTAATTAACAAACGGAGACGTAACAATATGATGACGATACTTACTTTTTATTTATAGTACTATGTCTAATTGTTCTTATTGTTGCGTATCTGCTTGTTTGTTAATTTCCTGTATAAATTCTTTCCGAGGAACTTCGGGGATGCAATTCTTTTCTTAATTAAAACTAGTTTATTCTTTCTCGATACAACTTTATAATACACAGAATTTCCACAGTCACTTTAAACTTAACAACCTTTATAACACACGCTATAAATCACAGTGATGCATACAGTTTACTTACGGTGCCTACTGTTCGCTTGACTCAATTATCTATCTCTTCGATCTATCTATGCAATTGCGCTGGTTTTTCTCGCCAGGCTTATACACTATAAAAGAGGGCGCCTCAAACAAACTCGGGCCTACCCGATAATTAATGATCCTTCCAGAAACTCCAGCGCGCATGCTCCCAGCGTCACGCGACTTCCGCTGTCGGTAACATTATGTTCGTTACAGTGTACTCTTTCGGTATAGCTGATAATTGCTTTAAATTTATAAATAACATTGGGGGGAAAAAAAAAGATCAAATATGTTCCGATTACTTTATTACAACTTAACCTTTTTCGTTATTAATCTTGGAACTATAACTCAAAAGCGTTTAAAGGACATGTTAAATAATGCATTTGTTTGTTTGTTTGTTTTGGAATTTCGCGCAAAGCTACACGAGGGCTATCTGCGCTACCCGT